AGCTGTCCGGGATCTTCTGCCATACTGGCCCCAGTGGCTTTTCATGATGGCACTTGAAGTAGTCTGGCTATGCTTAACCTTCCTGTTAAATGTACCTGGCTGTCCCAGGTGAGTTGCCTGTTAGACCCACTTCCATGCCATTTGTTTGTTCACTGGGTCCTTTTCCCTACTGAGTGGTTCTGAGCCGCTGGTACAGCTACAATTGATGGGACCCAGAAGTAGTCTCAGTGGGAGGCAGCTGTCATAACAGGGACTCATTGTCACTTGATCTCCAGGGTCACCTGCAACAGTGACATGCCACATCCTATTCCCCCTTCCACCTGCCATGGATTAGCCACCAGTGGCCTTTTGGCGTCTGCTGGCAGTAGCTGTGGGCACTCGGTGTTTGTCCCCTGACCATCCAACGGGTGTCTTTGATGGGGTGCTTCCTACTAATCCTACCTGCCAGGGATCATCCATTGTGCCTCTGTAACATATTTTGTCCTTCAAACTTATTGTAAACTATGAATAAGGCCCGATGTGGAAATAAATACAACGAGCTCTAGAAAGAGGCTCTAGGAAAGTGCCCCGGCCTTGGGCACTCAGCGTCAATTTGCAGTGGCAACCTTGGCAGGGTATAATGACAAATAGTCCACCATTTTCTCCAGAGGAACTGATCTCTGCTACCTGAAGAGCAGTTGTAATTCTGAGTGATCTCCAGCCCCCACCTGGAGATTGGCAACAATGGTTCCCCAGGAGGAAATGGCTGGTTTGGAGGGTGGAGTTTATGGCATTGTACCTGAGGTCCCATCCTCTCCAGGATCCACCCCTCAAATATCCAGGAATTTTCCAACCTGGAGTTAGCAAACCTGTCTCCTTCCCAGCCAACCATCAACATACCTTTATCTGCCCCTCTGACTTTAGCTTTCCATCTCCCCCCCCCTAGAGAGCAGTTTTAATTCTGAGTGATCTCCAGCCCCCACCTGGAGATTGGCAAAAATGGTTCCCCAGGAGGGAATGGCTGGTTTGGAGGGTGAAGTCTATGGCATTGTACCTGTCTGCCCCTCCTCAGACCCCATCCTTTCCAGGCTCCACCCCTCAAATCTCCAGGAATTTCCCAACCTGGTGGTGGCAACCCTATCTCCTTCCCAGCCAACCATCAACATACCGTTATCTGCCTCTCTGACTTCTCCTCCCCCCTCCCTGTAGCCTCTACCAAAAAAAGTACAGTCTTTTCCCACAGTGGTGACCAAAGCAGCTCACATCATTCTCCTCTCTCCCTTTTGATCTGCACAACAACCCTGTGAGGTAGGTTAGGCTGAAAGTCTGTGAGTGGTCTGAAATCACCCAATCAGCTTTTACAGGAAGAACCTGGGTCTGCCAGACCCGGCTCTGAAGCACTGACTGCTACGCTTAGGGTAGCCAACCTCCAGGTGGAGCCTGAAGATGGCCAGGTATCACAACTGAACTCCAGACAACAGATCTCTATCTCTCCCCCTGGAGAAAATTAACTGCTTTGAACGGTGGCCTCTGTAGCATTCTGTTCAGCTGAGGCCTCTCCCCTCCCCACACTCTGGTTTCCTTAGACTGGCTTCCTTAGACACAGACCTGGAACTGGCAACCCTAGTCAGGACTGGCCCCAATGAGTTTTCTCCCAAAGGCCAAAATAGGTGTGGAAAGGGCCTTTTACTGACACAACCAAACTTGGTTGCCTAGCAACAGGCACTGAGGGGAAAGTAGGGTTCCCAGCTCTGAGAAGGGAAATACCTGGAGATTTGGGGGATGGATCCTGTGGAGGGCAGTGTGGGGGGGGGGCGGAGGAAGGACTCAGCGCAGGAATTTCCCAACCTGGAGCTGGCAACTCTAGTCAGGACTGGCCCCAATGAGTTCCTCACAAAGGTGTGTAAAGGGTTTTGTTCCTTTGTCTTTTTACTGACAGAACCAAGCTTGGTTGCCTACCAGCAGCCACTGAGGGAAAAGTTAGTGCCACAGAGGAGCCAAGCATGTGAAGTGTCTTCCTCAGGAGAGAGAGCGTATTTTGACAGGGAGCAGTGGGTGGGGAAGAGGAGCAGAGTACTCTTTAGTGGCGGCTGATGGGCCAATGGCTGATGGAGTGCACTGTGGGCGGGACTCAGGCAATGCAGCGAGTGGATAGGGACAGCTTCTGAGTGACACATCATGGAGCCAACTGATTTAGGAGCGTGTGGAGTGTTCAGAAAGCGCCATCCCACTACTCAGTTATATATAAGGAAAGATGATGAACATAGTAACAGGATGCCTATAAACATATAAATGTCCTCTTTGGGTAAAGTGGGCTTTTTGTTCCCTTGGGGGGGGCAGAGGCTGAGAACCTCAGCTCTAGGCACAATTCCCTTGGCTGGACTCATGAACTCTCAGGGCTGCCCACAGTTGCAAGTAGTTGCAAGATGGAGTTGCAAGATGGAGGCCCTTGACTTTGCAAGTAGTTGCAAGTTGGTAGTTGCAAGATGGAGGCCCTTGACTTTGCTTGAGTCGGTCAGCTCTGCCCACCTGGGTTCCCTTCTTGTTTTCCTTCTAGAGGTTACCTTGGGGCCGGAGGCATTGGTGACCATGGAAAATATCCCAACTGCACCGGAGGGGCGGCTGGGTACATTGATCGTTTGCTCCTGGGAGAGAAACACATCTATCAACACCCGTCTTCCAGCGTAAGCAGTTGAACTTCCTGCAAACCTTTCAAACTACCTCCGAAATGAACATGAGAAGTTCTTTGTCCTCCAGTTAACTGTTATTTATTGTACTGGATAGCAAAATAACTTGTTTATAATTATTTGGAATGGAATATGAGGCCAGGTGGTGCCTTTCTTTGCCATCACTGACAGCTAAGATGGTAAGACTTGTAAGAACATTTTGGCAGTGGGACCAGTTACCTGGGGAAGGGTCCCTCATGTGAGGTCTAGAGGCTGAGGAAGGAGGCTTTCGCTTTGGAGTTCCTGCACTGAGCGGGTGGTTGGACTGGATGGCCTAGAAGGATCGTTCCAGCCCACTGACAATATGGTAACAGGAGTGCAGTTATTTTCACCAGCAGAAGACAGAACAGAAGCACCAGCAGGTGAAAAGTTTCACCCTCTGTGCTATTCAGAATATTCCCATAATCGTGGGCACCCAATGATATTGACAGGCAGTAGATTCAGGAAATGCACTTCTTCACTCAACAAGTCATTAAATTGTGGAATTCACTATAAAAGGGGAAACTCCATCACTGGCTACTAGGCATGTTCACTGAAGGGAGCCTCCATCTGCAGAGGCAGTCAGTACCCAGAAACCTGCGCTAGGAGGCATGTGAAGTAAACGTATTCGAAGAAGACTGTTCTTCCTGTAGGAGACTTTTGTGCTGCTTAGCTGGGTCTTCTTGCCAGTCTTTTCTAATGGACCTTGCTTGAGAGGCTGGTTCTTGGCTCTCTTCTGTAACTCTCCCCAGGCTGGTGAGAGCCATGTCTGTGCTCTTGCCTTGAGGGAACTATTTGGCTTGGGTTTCTGGGCTCTTTTCTCAGCCAGTTTCTGCACGTAGCAGTGCAGCTGGTATACTCCTGG